GCTGCTATAAATTCTGCATTGCTGAATGTACAATAAATCACAGGGATTCTACAAGCCTGGAGTTTGTTTTACAATCTGACATCAAGTGATTTCTGGGAATATAATTTATTTCCAACTAGTGGAAAATGTTCTGCGATGTCTACTTTTATAGTCCTAATGTCCTTGGCTCTTACATAACAGAAGTACAAGACAGCACATTGATGAAACGCAGCCTAGTAGAAAACCCTCTGTTTATTTAGTCTCCTTTAGTTCACATGTTGATTTGATGAGTCACGACTAACAGAATGTGCTGGCAGGAATTCATCCTCCACACTTTTGATAGACCTAAATCTTCATTTTTCATTCATTGTTAAAACGGTGACTCATTTTGAAGTGCCTCACTCCCCACGTGCCGCTGTGATCCCATGATCGTTGATTCCATGACAACTATTATGGAGCAATTTAGCCATGTTCCAGACAAAGAAATGTGTCAGTTCTCAAAGCCTTTACCTTGTAAAACAGGTTTTGATGCATTAGATGTAAATCTGTCAGCGATTAGACTTGCAGGCCCCGTGTCTAAGAATAATAGTAATCACTCATGTCTTTTTGTCTCCAGCTCTCCCCATCAGCACATATGCCAAGTACTGCTACCGGAAGCTCCAGAAAGTGTCAGTCACTGGAGGGAAAAAGGTGAGTTTTGATCAAATACACTGAAGGAGAATCAGGTGTTTAAGAAAGAGAAAAATAAGTAGTGTTTTATGTTTTTCCCATAAAGGGTCTCCGTAAGCCCAGTTTGGAGGAGGTAGACCACAGTCGGCGTGCCATCATAACCCCTTCGCTGTTTGGCAGCTCTCTAGAGGAAGTGATGGAGCGGCAGAGTGAACTCTTCCCAGACAGGAAGTTGCCGTGGGTGCAAGTGCAGCTGTCTCAGTATGTGCTAGCTCTGGGCGGAGCGCAGACTGAGGGCATATTCAGGTAAGACCTGCTCAGATTCCTGCTAATTAGGTAGAATAGAAGAACAGACTATGTTTTACTATACGAGTGTATTGACTAGTACATAATTTGCAAAAAGTTGCGAAGCTACTAATTTTAACTACATTTTTCATAATGTGACTTTAGAACAGGTGTTTTCTAATAGAGTAGCTTTTCCAGTCACAAGATACTTTTTGTAGCCTGTTAACAAGGAGCAGTGTGACGTGACAAAACACTTTATATCTTTTTGGCATATGCAGCTCAAAGGGTCAAATATTAACATGCTAACTGAACCGATTCAGTTACACTGTTGTTCAAAAAGGCTGCATTTTTTGATCATAAATACAATAATACAGTAATATTGTGAAATGTAATTTAAAATAAATGTTTTCTATTTTAATACATTTTAAAATGCAATTAATTCCTTTGATGCAAACTGAGTTTTCAGCAGACATTACTCACATGATCCTTCAGAATTCTAATGTTCTAGCAGATTAAATAATTAATAAAAAAGAGCAATTCTAATATGCTGATTTGGCGCTCAAGAAACATTTATCGTTTTTGAAAACGTTTGAAAGCTGCTTAATATTTTTGTGTAAACCATGTATTATTTTTCTTTTGAATGGTAGTATGTTTAAATCAGGTTCTAGTTTTATTAAAAATCTGGACCAAAAATGTCTGCTTTTTTAATATCTTAGGAATATTCTCTCCAAACTCTGTAAGACATGGGGCATAACTCTTAACACTTTCTTAACTCACTAGCACTTGCGCATTCATAACTATGGTGTGTTGTCTCCCTCTGGTGGTCCTTGAATGTAAAGTTACCGTCTCCTCCTACAGGGTTCCTGGTGACATTGATGAAGTTAATGCACTGAAGCTTCAGGTGGACCAGTGGAGGATTCCTGAAAATCTGTCTGACCCCAATGTTCCTGGTGAGTAACTATTCTCATGCATTTACAATAATATTACATAGCCAAAGAAAATATGTACTGGCATTTCATTATCATACCAAAAATATTTAAATATTAATTGTTTTTCCTCAGCCTCTCTGTTGAAGCTGTGGTACCGTGAGCTGGAGGAGCCTCTCATCCCCATGAGTTTCTACAAGCAGTGTGTCAGTAACTATGATGATCCTGTGGCAGCCATCAGCGTGGTGCAGTCGCTGCCTGAGCTCAACCGCCTGGTGCTGTGCTACTTCATCCACTTCCTACAGGTATTCACAACACTCAACAAACACACACACACAATAGGCAGCAAATGCATAAAAATGTCTTTTGACTTATCGCACTGCTCTGACGCATTTCCCATGTCTTCCTCAGGTTTTTGCTCAGCCTGCAAACGTTGCAGTCACTAAAATGGACGTGAACAACCTTGCTATGGTAATGGCTCCTAATTGCCTTCGGTGCCAATCGGACGACCCCCGTGTCATATTTGAGAACACCCGCAAAGAGATGTCTTTCTTGCGAATGCTCATTGTACATCTGGACACAAGCTTCATAGAGGGCATTGTTTAAAGTTATTTTTACTTCTTATTAGCAGAACACGAATCAGTGATACACAACCAACCTGCTTACAAACACAGTCACAAATATGACATTGTGGACAAAAACTAAAAACCTAGGACAAAAGTACAGTTTTAAGGATGATTGTGGGTTTTTTTCACTGTTTCACTGTTACTTTCATTATTTAATTGTGTTCTGTACACTTCATTGATATAAAGACTGTTGAATTTGTAATTCATGTCAGAAATGTTATCCCTTGTTCTTTGCATGCTCAAAAGCATGAAAAAAAATGTAAATCTTCAGTTCCAATGGTCATGAATTGTTAACTGTTTAAATATGTTAATGTGCATTGCAAGGGTCAAAGTTAAAAATAACTTGCATGGATGCATTGCTTTGTGAGCACTCAAATGCTGTTTGCTTGTTTTGTATAGTAAGTCAGAGAGTGAGAGTCATTAAGAAACCACTTTTTGTTTGTTCTCTGACAGTATCTTTGTGTATTTGTGGATTTTAAAAAAAAGATCATCTGTTATGTCATGTACAGGACAAATGTGTAAGTGTGAAAACTTTAATTATAGAAAAGAGAAAAATAGTTTTTGTTAGATAGGGTGTGACTTTTTCATACTCTAATTTAAGTACAGTATTTTAAGAAGTGAAAGTTTTCTATTTTATTTTACGATTTTATGTTATGTTTTGTTAAAACTTGTTATTCCCTGATAATCAGGAATGTCATTTATGCAAAATTGTCCAGAGTCTTGAAATGGTACATTTTTAGCTCCCATTGGAAGTCCGCAGCCCCATACATACCATTTAGATCTACTACTTTTGAGAGCGTTTGTAAATGAATATATTAAGTGATAATGGAATTATATGCCATTATATGATGCCTGTAAAATTGCATTTGAAGAATTAAAATGTAAAATCTTGGAAAAGAGTCAATAAAATTCATGACATCTAAAAAGACGGGTACCCTTTGTGTAATGTTCTTTTTGAGTTTTTGTATGTAAATAAAGCTTGTAAATAGTGCTTATTTTACTGACGTTACGTATAAATGGAACTGAGTGGTGGTGAGTGTTGTGTCGCGGTGCCAATGATAAATTTCTTCAATGCAGTCAATGAAGCTCGAGAAGCAGAGTTCCAGATGTTAAAATAAGACTTTATTAAACAAAGTAACAAAGCCGAGATAACGGCAGCCGCATCTGAAGTCTCTGTCTGTCCGTACATCCGTTTCATACCTTTTTCTCTTACCAAAGTTGGTAGTTCCGGTTTTTTATTGGTTATGCCTGTCTGGTTTGCCACAATTTATTACTAGCACACCTGGTCCATCTTTTAATGATGGAATTTGGCCAAATCAACCATTTTTTAAAAACTTTAATTTTGCCGCTTCCCATTGGTTGGCTGTGGTCCCATGAGACATACATCAAATCTGTTTACTAGTTACTGTCTACTTCTGGAAATCACCCAAAGTTCATTGGGTTACTCAAGTTCACTGGTACAATCCAATGTAAACCACTGACACTGCCCAATGGAAGGGCCCTCATACATACAATCCTCATTAAGACATCCAGTATTGAGAATAACTAAACATATTGATTAGTATATTGATTACTTTCATGATTATACATAATATTTTGAGTAAGATAATACCATATTTGAGTAAATAACATAAAAGGTAATAGAAATACACAATATGAGTTGTTGGAAAATAGATTTAAAAAATCTAAACACTTGTATTTAGTATTCTGTGCTATTGGCTGATTATGTATGAGCAAAATATTCTATACACCTTTTGGATTGTGTATGTATTTTGTGTGAAATGGATGTTGAGGAATCTAATAAAGTTTCATAAAGATGTTACATTTTATTTGTGATTTATTTGTTAGAAAATATGGTAGAATTACTCTTTAAGCTCTATTTGTGTGTTTTACCTACATTATTTTACATGATGTAAATACACTACTGTTCAAAAGTTTAGGATCCATACGTTTTTTTAATGTTTTTAAAATGCTCACTAAAGCTGCATTTATTTGACCAAAAATACAGTAAAAACAGTAATATTGTGAAATATTGTTACAATATAAAATAACTGTTTTATATTTTAATATAATTTAAAATGTAATTAATTCCTGTGATGTAAAGCTGAATTTTCAGCATCATTACAGCAGTCTTCAGTGTCACATGATCCTTCAGAAATCATTCTAATATGCTGATTTGCTGCTCAAGAAACATATCTTGTGTCGAAAACACTTGTGCATCTCAAACCGTGGAAACTGTATTAAATTTTTTCAGGATTCTCAGATGAATAGAATGGTCAAAAGAACAGCATTTATTTGAAATATGAATCTTAAAAACATCAACAAATTCTTTATTACCAATTTATCAGTTTAACGCATCCTCGCTGAATAAAAGCATTACTTTCTTTAAAAATCAAAATCGTTCTGACCTCTTACTTTTTTAACGGTAGTGTAATGTAATGTCTGTGTACCTCACAATGAAGCTACTAGACGTCTATATAGACTCGAGGTTCTTACGCATGCGCGGTGGCGTTATTGTTCATACCGGTAGTCTGTGTGGAACACATTGGAAAATAGTAAGTGCGTGCATCTCGCGCCCAACGTGGCTACAATAAAAGAGCCTTTAATAGATGCACGACGCGCCTTTATAGTTAAAGAGACGGATATCACAACAGGTAACTGATGTTTATAGCATTTTATAATACTGTTTTCTCAATAGCAAGACTTTGGACGAGTACGGAATGTTTAAAGATATTGTTTTAGAAAATTGCGTGTGCAATAACAGATTTTAGGTAATGAAATCAAATAAATGTCGTAACTTGTGCGTCGGTAGATGCATGTTGTGATTTACAGCTTGTATTTGTGGGAGTGGCGATGATGTACTCGCCCATTACTAGTATCCATGTCATTATTTTCTTGGAGGGTGTGGGGCAGTCAGGAAGTTAATGTCTGCTTGTGTTTTCAGTAAGATGAATATTGATCCTGTAGGATTTCAAATCATCTTAAATTATGTTCTCTGTCTGCTTTTGGCTGTAGACGGGCAGAAATCTGGGAGCAACAAACAGTAGTGTAATATTGGAATATCTGGCATCTCTATTGTTTCCATTGTCATTGTCAGGCATTTGGGGGCTCCTGATAAAATCACAGTTAATTACTCTCACTTACATGACTACTCATGCAAGAGTAAATATCTAAATTAATATGTTTATAGTGTTTTGTAATTTATAATATTATGATTTATATAATTTTGCAACAATAATTCAAATTGTCATTTTGATAGTTAAAAAAATAAAAAAAATAAAATAAAACAAACAAAAAAATAATAATATATATATATGATTAAAAATTAATTTAAATATTAGTCTAATTAAATATTGTGATTGTTGTAATGACTGCTTATAGTTTTTCAACTTAATCATTAAAATTATTTTAATTATTATTATTCAATTAATTAATAATTTTAACTATTATAATAAAAATTGTGGTAATGTAGACTTGTAGCACGTAAAATAAATCTTTGGGTTTACTGTGAATCTCAAGCTGTGTTTGGCATGATTTTTTTAAGACAAAGCTCCATTTAAAAGAACCCTCATCGGTAACTTAGATGTTATATTTTTCCTTTTTCATCTCATAATGTGTGTTTTTTTATCCACTGTTTATAAATAGTTTGTGATTTACTGAATAGGATTTATTGTGTGAATAATATAGTAAAAAGTTGACCGTTAAAGGAAAAGTTTTCAATTGCTGAAAATGTACTCTCCCTCAGTCCATCCAAGATAAAGATGAGTTTTTTTTTCTTCATCAGAAGAACAGATTTGGAGAAATTCAGCATTACATCACTTGCTCACCAATGGATCCTTTGAGGTGAATGGGTGCCGTCATAATGAGAGTCCAAACCACTGATAAAAACATTACAATAATTCACACGCATCCAGTCCATCAATTAAAGTCTGTCTGTTTGTGAGAAACAACTCCATCAATAGGACGTTTTTATCTTCAAACCATTGCTTCCAGCTGAAATACATGTCCTCTATACATAATATTGCTTTCTCCACTGAGATAGTTTGATGAAGAAACAAAATCTACATCTTGGAAGGACAACAGAAAGATTTTTTTTACTTGTCACATGCTTAGACTTATTTGTTAAATTTGTTCCAGAACACTGCAATAATGTCAGTAACCAGTGATTGTTTACTTACTTAATACTTAATTGTTTTCCTTCCAAAACTGTTGCTGTGATACAGTTCAGTGCTACAGTTACTGTTATTAGTAGTTAGTTGTTACCAATATGTTTAAAAAACTAATAAATGTATAAGGTAAATTACTATAATGTAATTTTACTACATTTTTGAGAATTAATATTCTCTTTCTCTCGTGTTAGCTCTCAAATGGTCTACTTGTAAAAACAGTAATGGCACTGGCCTAAAGTAATGTAATGATCACTGGGAAGTTACTAAAATGTGACTCTTTCATATTACTTAGTTGCTGACATTATGAGCAAAATGCCTCCTAACAGACGAGGAATTAAGTTTGAGGTGGGCGCTGCTCTTGAAGCACGGGACAGTCTGAAGAACTGGCAAGTGCCATTCTTTTAAAAACACTTTTTTTTTTCTTAGCCTTTCTCTCACTCTGTTTTATAGAAAGCTCTCTCTGTGTGGTTTCACTCCCAGGTATGTTGCCAACATTGAGAAGATTGACTATGAGAACGAGAAGATCTTAATCCACTATCGCCAGTGGAGCCATCGCTACGATGAGTGGTTTGACTGGGCCAGTCCGTACCTGAGACCCGTGGAGAGGGTTCAGCTGAGGAGAGAGGGACGACAGGAAGACAGCTTTATCCCTGTGAGTCACAGACTGTGCTCCTTAAAAATCCCAGTATATGAAAGCTAATCTAGGATCAGCCTCATGTATAAGTCTGTTTACTGAGATGCGAAAGTGATGCTGCATAATGCGTCCTGTTGTAATTTCAACTGATTATTACTGTGTGGATCACACGAGCAAATCCTAAATAACCAATATACAGTATCAACCCTCTACGGACACCTTGGCAATTGAATCGCCATTGGTTAGAAAATTTTTTAGGAAACTCGCCAAACATATATATATATATTTATATATATATATAATATATATAGCTGAATCTATAATTAGAGATACATTTGGCATTGCAGTAAGTTAAGAAAAAAAATTTTCACTAACAGATTTGTTTTTCAGTATCTTATTGAAAACATATTTAATTTTAATAATTCAGTGCTTGCCAAACACAAGTTACTTCCTTTTTTTTACTTTTAATGAAAAAACAGATGTCTTTATGGTATTGTTTGTCAACTCTGTTATGGATAAATTAGCCAATGTGTAGAAATAACAATAAATTATAACAGGAAAAATCCTTCTTGTTTCATTAGACAAACAGTCCTTACATTCCATCACTTGAAACTATATATAATATGCATATATAGCTGGTAATCGACCGCTCAGTCATCCGTTTTCTATTTTAATATATCTTAAAATCTAACTTATTTCTGATCATTTTTCAGTGTCACATGATTCTTTAGAAATTATATGCTGATATGCTGCTCATAAAACATCTCTTATCAATGCTGAAAACTGCTGCTTAATATTTTTATGGAAACTAGCATATATTTTTCAGGATTCTTTGATGGATTAAAATAGTAATCTTTTGTAAAATTTTAAATGTCTTTACTGTCACTTTTGATCAATTTAGTGCATCCTTACTGAATAAAAGTATCAATTTCTGTAAAAAAATAAATCAATCTTTGTTTATATTAGTTACGTGGTGCAACCAGCATGCAGAAACATGGACAAAAAACAAAACAAAACAGGAAACAGTATCATATTAGGACCCCTACAGACCCTCATGACTATGAATCAAGGTCAATAAATGTCTTAAAAATCACCTGATCATAATCTGACCCTAAATTCTCATTGGTTGAGGCACATTTAAAGCCACTGAAAAAAATCAGTTAATTTCATAATTAATTTTGTTTTCATTCATATTTTTTTGCAGGGATTTCATGTGAATGACAAAATTCTTGCCAGTTGGTCCGATTGTCGATTTTATCCTGCAAAAGTCTTGGCCGTCAATAAAGATGGTAAGTAGTTGCCATATTCATTGCATTAAACAGGTGTGTTACATGAACAGATTCTTGTCCAAATTTAAATGCAATGATTCATATTTGATTTTATTTATCCTGCAGAATCCTACACTGTTAAGTTCTATGATGGTGTTATCCAAACAGTCAAAGGAATCCATGTGAAGCCCTTCACCAAAGAGGTTTATTTTGCATTTGTATCCCATTCATGTTGCACCTCTATTTCAGTACTCATTTTGGCCTTCTCACTCTTTACTCATTCTCTCATTCTCACCAAATAGAGAAGAAAGAAACTAACTGCTAAAAATGAAGAGAAGCCCATAGTAAAAAAGACAGAAAAGGACAAGAAAATGCAGGAGGAGAGTGAAGTCAATGGCGGTAAACAAGCAGCAGGGCAAACTGACAGTGTTCCTGAGGAAGAGGCGAATGAGATCTCAGATTTGGATGGAGAAGAAGGTGAACAGAAGAAAAGAAATGGGAATGGGACATGCCTTGAAGTGGAAGATATAAGCATAAAGGAGGAATATGAGGAGAGGGGCTTGGAGCGAATAGGGCAGCACAATTACAGTAAGTCATTTCTGAAGAAGGTCTCAGGGCCTGAGGAGAAAGAAGAGGAAGCCGCAGTGAATATGGAGGACTCTGTGGTGTTTGACATGGGTGTGAACTTTAATAAGGGGATGGTAAAGAGAAATGAGACAGAGGAAGCAGAAGTTCACGTGGAACAAAAAGAGGAGGAAATCAAAGGAAAGTTTGTTCCTCATGACAGAAAGTCACGGAGGCAGCGCATAAGAAGTACGTACAAAGTTAAACTTAGATTTAAAAAAAAAATTTGACAGTAGGCAAGTGACTTGTAAATTGATTTTCCTGGAAAATATAAACACTGCAGTTCAGTTGGGCTTTCAAAAGTTGTTTGTTTGAAAATCCTGACCAGCCCTACCTGGCAACAGTGGCTCAACCAATAATGTGAACTTGGGGGTGGGGCTATTGGATTGTCTGATTAGTGGCAGGGCGTGTTTGGGAAACCAGTAGGAAAACAATCATTATTAACTCCATGTGTTTGGCTACACGAATAACGATATGTACGATATGGCTTAGTGCGATAATCAAATCACAAAGGGTGCGATATACGTGCAATACATGTGGTATGTGTTTCAGAGTGAAGCACAGCACTGTGTTCTTTTACACACGAGCAGGTCATGATTCAGTGTTTTCCGGGTCTCAGTGTGCAGTGCTGCTCCACACACACTGATCTCTGCATCTGCTCTGAGTTTGGGTAGCATATAACATTATAGCATTTGTGAACCATCTTCCCAAACTTGTAATTAGAGGCTTTAAGGGCCCTTTGCTCTAACCATGTCCTATACCAGGGGTGCCCAAACTCGGTCCTGGAGGGCTGGTGTCCTGCAGAGTTTATAGAATCTAAAATTATATAGTGAGATTTATAATACTTAGTTATAGAAACGCAAACTGTGGAAAAAGAATATTTATGGCACTCAGAAATGTATGTAATGCAGTTGTTTTGACAAAGAAACAAAATACTAGTTTCAACATTATTTGTTCTTCAGACATTCCCCTTTAGAAGAAAATAAGTATCAGATTTATGAAAAGTGACCCACATTTGGTTTTTGACCATTGGAAATGTGTACAATTTAACGATTTACTCCTGGAGCCATATTGAGATCCTTCTTGAGTTACAGGCACGCACATTTGAGAAAAAAGAACATTTATGACACTCAAGCAGGTATGTCCTATACAATTGTTTTGATAGAGGGAAACAAGATACATTTCTAGTTTCAGCATTACTTATTCTTCAGACATTTCGCTTTAAATACAATAAGTATCAGCTGTGTACGAAGAGACCAACATTTGGTTTTTAAGAACTGAAAATGGGTAATATTC